GATACCTCAACAGAATTGAGGTCATTTGTTTTATAATTTTATTACTGAATGTGTTCTTGTCATTTGTTGCAAATTAAATTTAGTTTGAAATCAATTTTGAAATCAAGCTTCCTTGTGCTGTAAGCTTTTGCAACAAAACCTTATTTTAAAGACACAAATACACAGAATGAGCAAAGGTTTAAGATTGATATTTTTGTAATGGTAATTGATCAATATTTATATGTATGTAAATAAAAGACTATGTTCTCCACAGACAGCTATGTTACTTTATTTCGCTAAACTGAGGCAAAGTAGCATCAGATCTTTTCTTCTTTTTTTAACCTTCTGTAACTGAGGCCAGCTAGTAAGAGCTGTGCTAAAACATTTAGGGATATGTATGTATGGGATATGTTTTAATTGTATTTTAATCACGGTGAAAAATAAATGTAACAGAGTTAATACATTTTCAATAAGCTTAAGTAGAATTAAGCAGAAGTAAAATTAATATTATTTAATTTTGAAAAAGTTACTCAAGTAGCACCACAAATGCATTTTCATGACTGTATGACAGTCTGTCTGCTCCAGAAATACAAAAGATGATTTTTTTAAAACTGTTTTTTAAATGTTGTTGTTGTTGTCCATGCAATGAAAGGCAATGGTGTCCAATGCTCAAAATATCTTCATTTGTTTTCTGCAGAAGAAAGTAATTGATACAGGTTTGGAACAACATGAGGGTGAGTAAATGATGACATAATTTTCATTTTTGAGTGAAATCAGTCTGTCTGCTCCAGAAATACAAAAGATGATTTTTTAAAAACTGTTTTTTTAAATGTTGTTGTTGTTGTTGTCCATGCAATGAAAGGCAATGGTGTCCAATGCTCAAAATATCTTCATTTGTTTTCTGCAGAAGAAAGTAATTGATACAGGTTTGGAACAACATGAGGGTGAGTAAATGATGACATAATTTTCATTTTTGAGTGAAATATCCCTTTTGATGTCACCAGTCAAACTGACCATCATTCTTTGGAAATGTGTTTGATGCAACCTCTAAGGAATAACTAAGAATAAATCAACAGAAACCCCCAAAAGGCTACACTCCCTGTTCTTTGGAAATTAGTTGCTGACAGTAAGGTTTGTATTTCTTCAATCCAAACAAATTTAAGGAGGGGGCTTAGAGTATAAATTCCCAAAGCTAATACCGTCAGCTACATTGCTTTGTTCATTCATCTTATAGGTAACGTTTCCTGACATCCTTCCTCCAGCATTGTTTTGAATGATTCTTGTCTCATTTTGGTTTGTTGTTGTTGTTTCAGTGTTTTCCAGGCACTTAGAGGTTGTTCCTTTAAAGTCTAAGAATGGCAGATTGCAAAGGTGAGTAAAAGTTTCTGAATTGCTTTTGACTAATAAAATGTAATCCAAATCTTTCAGTTTTCTTTATTTACTTGTTTAATGTTCTTGGTAATGGACACAACTCTGTGCAAAATCTTCATGTTGTAACTATCACATTTGTAATTCTACAGAGGTTGTGATCGCAAGTAGCCCTGACTTTGTTACGGAGCTTCTTCCATCTGCTCAGTGTACGGCTTTGCTCTATCATCTCTCTTACCTCTGCTTGGCTAATTTCCCCAAGTTGGAGAGGGAACTCAGAGAACGTGCTGTTGAAACCCAGCTACTCTTTGGGTCCTCAGAGGCTCTTCTGCTGAAGGTAAGACCAGTGTTCCTCTGTTACTGGAGTCCAATCAAAGAAGTAGATTACCCCCCGCCTCAATATTCAATGAAGAGTTCTGCAATGAATGAACAAACCGTGCTAAGGCTTTAAAAACATCTGCTAAATTAGTAAATGTTAAACGTAAAGTAAATGTAATGCATTTCTTGGACTTTGATCACTTATTACTTTGTGGATAAATAGTGTAAATATTTTGCTGTCTTTTAGTGTGCGGCCACCAGTAACAACCTGGTTTCCACGCTGTTGCCTGCGCTAAAGGTTGCTGTTGAAAATAATAAAAGCAGTGTGGCTGTGAAGTCCCTGGAAAAAGCAAGAGCATGGATCACTGAAATTATTAACAGAGTGAAAGATATGGTAGAAAGGTAAAATGTTAGAAAACGAAAACGTTACACATAAAAAAGCATTTTATGATCTCACACAGAAGAAAGTTTACTGTGATAAGCTGATTTATCTGAAAATTTTCATGATCAGATATGAGAACCACAATCGCAGAGTGGCTTCATGCACCAGTGATGTGATTCTTGAAAAGGCTGAGACAGACAAAAAAAAAAAGCAAACTTCTCAGGAGATAGAAGCTCTTGGGAAGGTGGTGAGTGGTCTAGAAGAGGAACTGAAGAAAAACTTTGAGGACCTTAGACGAACTGAGGAAAAGATTGAAGAAAAACAACAAGTGATGCAGAATCATGTCAGAAATGCTTCTCGTACAAGCAATGGTTTGAGTATCCTGGTTGCCCTTGTACCATTTATTGGAGCCATTGTTAAATCCATCCACAACACTGCAGTTGGCCCTGATGTGGCTGCAAAAACCCATGCTCTCTCCAATGAAATATCTAACCTATTCTCTGAGAAATCAGACCTGAGAAACAAGGAGTGGATTATCCAAATCAGACTGACTAATGCTCAGCTGAAGTTGGCAAGCAAGAATATTGAACAGGGTGAGAGTCTTTCACTTGCTTGTAAGGATAAAAGATCTCTGTGTGCCAGGGTGTTGTGCTTTGCACATTCAGATTCACATATGCAATGGTCAAAAGGCATCTCTCATTATTACTGTCTGCTTAATATGGTTTCTCAAGGTTCAATACCCAACCCTGTCCATCTGAATGAAGTCCAAAAGTGCCTTTCCCGAATCCAACAAATTTTGATTCAGCTTCAGAAGTTCTGGGAATCAGTGTGTATCTTGTTGGAGGCTCTCGAAGACAAGACGTTTGCTAATGAACACTTCATAGAAGAGTGTGGTCTGAAGGATATCTTTCTGAAGAATATTGAAACAGCACTCAAGGTAACTTAAACATTAATTAAATGACTAATTTCATAGGGAAACTGTAAGCAGTGTGTGAAAATAGCAACCCTTGATCCTTGTCATACAGAGTTCTGCAAAAGTATGTTCAATTGCTGGTTTACAAGATTTCATTTCACCTTCATTGTATTCTCAAGTAGACACACCCAATAATGTTGTGAGTTTAAAGTCATTTTGTACTTTAAATATTTCAGCACTGGAAATCTTTCGGTGAATACTGTCTGAAGGCAAAAAGCATCTTTAGCTTGCATACTAAGGATGCGTATAAGTTCCTGGAGACCAGCCCATCTTCACTTCCACAAGCGCAATGGAAAGAAGAGTATGATGCTGTCATTATGGAGCTGAACAAAATAAGTCCTGATCCCTTCCCTCCCCAAGAGCCAGCTGCCATTGCTGGGTAGTGTACAAGCTTAAGAACCCTAGTGAAAAAATACATATACTGAAATGTATTTGAAATACAATTATTTCATGCTAAGTATATTACAATACCCTGCAATTGTACTTTTAGTATACTAAGCTGGTATATTTTAAGTCTGCTAAGTTGGGAGAACTAATTTTGTACTTAATGCACTTTAATTGTGCAAATGTAGTGCTGAAGTCCAAGTAAAGATGTACTGAAGTACATCTGATTGTGCCAAAATGAAACTATTGCAAGTATATTTAGGTGCACTTTAAATATCTTGCATTTAAAGAACGAGATATTATTCAAAGATCATACAATCATCATCAACAGAAACAGAGTGTCAAGGGGTAGGGGTGAAAATATTCCCCTAAGAATTGGGACGCCACTACTATGCAGTCACACGTCATCATACGTCGTCTAGCTCCTACAATACGCACACCTGTGCTGGTGTGAATTAGAGCCTTCAATTACCGTTCTATATTAATGTGCTGCTTACTGACACACACATACATTATATATATATATATATATATATATATATACTGTATATATATCTGAGAGC